TTCTTCGCATAAGATGAATCAGCCACCATCTTCTGGTGGAACCGACCTTCGAATCTCTTCACCCAACACTCCCATTCGAAATGGAAGTAGCTCAGCAATTCGTTAGTTGATCGCGTTGAAAAGCCAAACGACTCTACCTGTCCCGACCCGACTGACGTTGTCAGAACGAGAAATCATCATTGTCTGTATGCATGCACAGGACACACGATAACACATGCTTGGACGCTAGTAACAATTGCAGGATTATGCGTTGGTGCATGTAGACAAGGGAATAGCTGTTGCCGACCCCACTTTGTTTGCATACACCAACATGCGCCCTCTTTAAGAGTGCATGTTTGGCAAGTAAATTGCATTATTTTACGTTTTTACAAGTCAGCTTTCGAGGCTACCAACAAATCAGCTCTATGAGTCGAATTTTCCCACAATCAGGTAGGCAAAACTGGCGCCTCCACGATTCATATAATTGTGGGAAAATACAATTACCACACCTCCATCACATACAACTCATATAAACAAATGGCCAAGCGATCCTGTGATTCCCCATTAGGATCGAAAGTTGGCCACATGAAGTGAATCTGATGGCATCAGGCTATTGCTCCCTCTTGTCTTAGTGCAGTTGGTACATTTTTTGGTAAACTCTCGTTTCTTGCGTGACCGGAGTCGCAATGTCATCTTTCCTCCCGCTTTTGCGAGTGCGACCAATTCACGAATTCCTTCCAACCGAATTTTTCGGTTTGGGGCTGTGGATGTGAAATGGGAAAAATCGAAACTCCAGTCCGGTCCAGTCCGGTCGGGACGGAAATCCCCTTTTGGCGACAAGAAGACGTGAAATTCACCGACATCGTGAGGCCTTCTTATTTCTTCAGCCCCCCAAACGACTCAAGTAGGACTTATTCAAGGTCTAACCAGCGTCTCGGAATCCTGACCACTTCGAAGGCGAGAGCAAAATATTGTCTTTCATCATAACATCCCACAGGTTGCCGTTGTGACTCCACTGGTTGGCCGGGAGAATTACTGAAGTGCATTGGCAACCGGGCCGACGATGAGACCATACCACGCGGAAGATCAAAAGGAGAATCTTCACCCACACCACGAACTTTACCAATGGGCTTCAATTCAAAGCCCCCTTCGGCAAGTCTGGCTCACTATGAGGCTGGCGCCGTTCCATACAAGACAAGAGCACTAATGACAAAGCCGTCTAAAAGGGATTGAGGACAAACAAGTGGAAGACACACAAGCCTGAAAGTTGTTAGTGATGGATTTCAGTTTTGTGAAAGATTTAAAACAACTTGCTACTGATAACACGTGAGTAGTGTGTGAAGCTTATTAGCAGGCAGGCGGAGGACAATAGAAACAAAATTCACGCCCAATGAGAAGAGGACTTTCAAAATATCGACGTCAATAATTATATTTTATACATTATAAAGAATGTAATAAAGACGGAAGAAATTTAGGCGAATTAATGGAAAATATGATGATTTTTAGCAATACTCTTTTGAAGGAGACTTTTGTCTATTCATGAGCAGTATCGAATAAGAAGTCGAGAAAAATTTAGTCGTAGAGAGTCTTAAGGGGAAGAATCAACGTCTAGTATGAGGTAATTCTGCCGAGAGGAAGATTTTCTCTCAGTGACCCGATTTTGGGTCATGCAGACAAGAGAGAAACAGACAATGCTACGCAGAGATGAGCCCGACGGACCAGCTTAGCCTCTAGATAAGGGCAGACTTGTCTC